CCAAGCTTGCATTCGCTCGATATTCGGGTCTCGATCCTGCGTCAACATGCGACGTTCTTCATTCGAGATCGAGTCACGATGTTGGGAGGTCGGTCGAGCTGCCTTAAGCTGCTCGGGTGCTCAGTAGGTGCCCGGGTGCTCAGTTGGTTGGCTAATCTTCCGGTCGTCTCCGCTCGCGCCTGCCGTTCAGGGGTTGGCAACGAGCTCCTTCGAGTCCAGGACGAGTCGTGAACGGACCTTGGATTTAGCTGATCTAATTGTGCTCGGTAGTTCGCCTGATCCGTAGTGAGAAGTTCTAACCTCGAGTTAGTGTTGCGGGCCTGTTCCTCCTGTCGATCGAATCGTTGCATGATGACATCCATCATAGCCGTCAATGGGTCATGAGCTCGCGAGGCTGTAGCGGTTTCTTGCCTGATGGGCTCAGTCTCGAGGGTGGTTCGGACTTCTTGGTCGGTGATATTTTCAACGACCATCGGATCCGGCTGGAGATCGCGATTCCCCGTTTGGACCTCTTGATTTACGACGCTGTGTTCGGGCTGAGTGTCCTCTATTTCCAAGTTGAGATCGTGCGTTGGAGAATTTCAAGCTCCCTACCTGGCGCGCCAATTGTTGATACGTGAGTTCGACAATACATTTATTAAATAGTAAAGGGGCTCGAAAATCCTCGTTTATTGATATTATGCTCGGAAACAGATTACAAGCAGTACAAACAGAGTAAAGAATATAAAGGATGTTGAGCTCGGAACCTAGTGAACTGACGAACCTTGTGTAAACGAACTGACTGAATAACGAGCTCGTGAGGTCGGAAACTAAGCAGTAAGGAAATATTCTGAGATCGGAACTGATTGACACGTATTCTGAGGTCGGAACTGGGTGAGAGGTGTTCTGAGATCGACGATAAGCGCGTATGTAAAAATCACTTTATCTGGTGAATTCTTGTACGATTCCGGCGTAATGTACGTACATAATTCTTTCTCTGTTAGATTAGTTAGACTCAAGAAAACAGTTAGTTCTCTAGTCCCTTGTACTACTCCAAAAGAGGAAAAGTGATGGGACAACTCAAGGAGAGGGGTCCCACTTTTATACTAGAATGAGGAAGTACATAAATGTAGGGTTTCCCTTGGAACTTGAGTTGGGCTTTTAATTATGTCGGACCGAGCTCGGCGAGATGAGCTTTATAATTTGTCAATTATAAGGCCTATGCCCAACAACAACTATGCCCATGAAAGCATATGATATGCACAATTATGAAATAACCATGTGATGCACATGCACATGTGCTCTTTCTTCATCGTCAATTATTCTCCATGCCCATATTTTTTTCACAACAATCCTAATGCTTAATTATGTTCCCAAGAGCATATAAACCTTCTCTCGCTGACCAAACTCATTTTCTTTGATCCTTCTAATAACAGATTCAATATGCCTTCCCTTTCCTCAACTGTATGTAAATTAATTACCCATGAAGCAT